TTAAAGAAACCCCACAGAATCTACCAAACAAACGTTATATAAGGGAGAATCCCATCCCCTTTCAACTCATTCACCAACTTCTTCCCCTTCCTTTCCTTCAACAGTTTCTCCAAAAAATGGCTCTCTCTACCATCTCCAAATTAGCCCTTGCCCTCTCTGCAACTTTGTTCATCGGCTACGCTATCGCTCACGACTTCTCGATCGTGGGATATTCCCCCGAGCATTTAGCCTCCATGGATAAAACCATCGAGCTTTTCGAGTCGTGGATGTCGAGGCATAGTAAAACGTATAGGAGCATTGAAGAGAAGCTCCATAGGTTTGAGATATTCCTTGACAATTTGAAGCACATTGATGAGACAAACAAGAAGGTTTCTAGCTATTGGCTTGGGTTGAATGAATTTGCAGACCTGAGCCATGAAGAGTTTAAGAGTAAATATTTGGGATTGAAAGTCGAGTTTCCAAAGAAAAGATCAGCTCGTGGCTTTAGTTACTGGGACGTCGAGGACGTGCCGGAGTCGGTCGATTGGAGACTCAAAGGAGCTGTTACTCCAGTCAAGAACCAAGGCTCATGTGGTCTCTGTCTTTCTCTTATCTATTTATCTACTTAGTTAAGGATATATGGTATAAGATCATGATTTTCCTATATGATGCTTCAACAAAACTATGATTGGAATGCAGGGAGTTGTTGGGCATTTTCAACTGTGGCAGCTGTGGAGGGGATAAACCAAATTGTTACTGGAAATCTAACCTCGTTGTCCGAACAAGAATTGATCGACTGCGATCGAAGCTTCAACAATGGATGCTATGGCGGTCTGATGGATTACGCCTTCCAATACATAATGTCGAACTCTGGACTTCGAAAGGAGGATGACTACCCATATCTGATGGAGGAAGGAAAATGTATCAGAGAAAAGGTAAATAGACTCAATGTTAGAAATCACGAACCTCCACAATAGTATGATATTGTCCACTTTGAACATAAACTCTTGTGAAAGACCTCATATCAATGGAGTATTCCTTATTTATAAATCCATGATCATCCCCTTATTTAGCCGAGGTGGGACTCCCCACCAACAATCCTCAACAATCCTCCCCTTCAACAAAGTATATCATAAAGTCTCCCCAGCGGCCTTTGGAGCCCTCAAATAGTCTCCCCTTAATTGAGGCTCGACTCCTTTCTTTAGAGATCTCGAACAAAGTACACCCTTTGTTCGACACTTGAGTCACTTTTTTACTACACCTTCGAAGCTCACAACTTTTTTTGTTTGACATTTGAGGATTTTATTAACATGACTATGTTAAGGGCATAACTTTGATACCATGTTAGAAATCACTAACCTCCACAATGGTATGATATTGTCCACTTTGAACATAAGCTCTCATGGCTTTGTTTTTTGTTTACCCAAAAGACTTCATACCAATGGAGATGTATTCCTGATATATAAACCCATGATCATCCCCTTAATTAGCCGATGTGGGACTCCCCACCAACAATCCTCAACACTTAATGCCTAAACATAGAGCTTGCACGTTTACTAAAACATGTTACTATAATCTCTAGGAACAATTTGATGTCGTAACGATCAGCGGTTACGAAGACGTGCCAGCAAATGACGAACAGAGCCTCCTAAAAGCATTGAGTAACCAACCTGTCAGCGTAGCCATTGAGGCTTCTGGCAGAAATTTCCAATTCTACAAAGGGGTAAGATAGATTGTAAAGCATAGCATCATACTTTCCCTTAGAAACAAATCAAAATGGATGGTTTCACTTGAATCTAACTATGAAATCATTGGTTTATCTATGAACTTCACAGGGAATATTCACAGGTCGATGCGGAACTGAGATGGATCACGGTGTGACCGCGGTCGGGTATGGTTCATCAGAGGGAACAGACTATATTATTGTGAAGAACTCATGGGGACCAAAATGGGGAGAAAATGGATACATTAGGATGAAGAGAAATACCGGAAAACCTGAAGGATTATGTGGAATCAACCAAATGGCTTCGTATCCAACCAAAGAGAATTAATCCATTGAAACTCTCTCTATGTTGTTTGAACATTTCGATACTTTTTTTTCCCCTCCATGTTCCTTTCAAATTGATATTGAATTTCTGTAACTTTTCTATTACCTTTGATCAATAAAACGACCAAATTAGTAATGGTTCGACATGAAATAAGTTGATACTCATTCTCCAGGCTCTCGTGGCTTTTCTTTTGGTTTCCCCAAAAGGCCTCATACCAACGGAGATAGATAGTATTCTTACTTATAAACTCATGATCTTCCTCTTAATTAGCCAACGTGGGGCTACTCTCGATAATTCTCAACAATCTTCCCCTCGAATAAACCACACCATAGAGCCTCACCTTGAGGCCTCCTTCTCTAGAGCTCTTGAACAACCTTCCCTTAATCAAGGCTCAACTCCTTCTCTAGAGCCCTCGAACAAAGTACACCATTTGTTCGACACTTGAGTCACCTTTGACTACATCTTCGAGACTCACAACTTCTTTGTTCAACACTTGAGGATCCTATTAACATGGCAAAGTTAAAGGCATGACTATGATACTATTTTAGGAATCATATACCTCCACAATTGTATCATGTTCTCCACTTTAAGCATAAACTCTCATGGCTTTGCTTTTGGTTTCCCCAAAATGCCTTGTACTAATAGTAATGTATTCCTTACTATAAACTCATGATCTTCCTCTTAATTAGCCAACGTGGGACTACTTCTCTCAATAATTCTCAACAATCTTCCCCTCGAATAAACCACACCATAGAGCCTCCCCTTGAGGCCTCTTTCTCTAGAGCTCTCGAACAACCTTCCCTTAATCGAGGCTCAACTCCTTCTCTAGAGCCCTCGAACAAAGTACACCCTTTGTTCGACACTTGAGTCACCTTTGACTACATCATCAAGGCTCACAACTTCTTTATTCAACACTTGAGGATTCTATTGACATGGCTAAGTTAAGGGCATGACTTTAATACCATGTTAGGAATCATAGACCTCCAATGGTATGATGTTGTCCACTTTAAGCATAAACTCTCATGGCTTTGCTTTTGGTTTCCTCAATTCCTTACTTATAAACTCATGATCTTCCTCTTAATTAGCCAATATGGACTACTCCTCTCAATAATGAATGCTCACAAGGAAGTACTACCAGATTTCGAAAGAAATCAAGCCATAAAAAGTTAGCTAAAGTTAATGCTATTTAATCACACAAAAAACTGTAAAGCATCATTTGCACAAGTTATCAATAAGAACGGATGATGAATTCTATCCTATAAACGATCGATTGTATAATTTTCTTCGAAAGAAAACCATTCTGACAATCGCATCCTAAAAGCTCTCTATCAGCTACACATTCAATAAAACAAGATCAACCGATTAAACAGCAGATAAAACTCTAACAATCAGACCACATCCACATCGCTAACTAGAACATAAAGATCATCGCCGACTTCCCCTTCCCCCCAGCAGCAGAATGCCCAATCAAACAAAAAAAGAAAACGAAAATGGAGAAAGAGAGAAACCATATGTACTTGAGGGAAGGGATGGAGTTGTAGAAGACGCCGATCCATTAGAGCTCAATGGGAGTGGGCTTGCGAGGTTTATCGGAAGAGAATCGGTAGGGGATGGTGCAGGCTCTGTAATTTGAATCAACCAGTGTGAGCAGCAGCGGAAATGGCACCAGCAACTGAATCAATCATGCAGAGCAACTGAAGTAGAGGGAAGTGGAAGATCGCGCGAGGGAAGGAGCGGGAAAGAGTCGGAAACGACATGTCGTTTTATTTTTATTATTTCTAATATTTTGGCTAATTATAATTAGTCGACTTAGAAAACGTTAAATTATTTATTTTAAAAAATATTATTTCAAAATTATTATTATTCTTTCACAATTATTCTAATTATTCTTCCATTTATGAGAGAATATTAATTTATATTATACTGAGACCTTTTAACTTTTTGTTCAACTTTCTAACAGTTCAGATAAATTGAAGTATTTTTTTTAATATATTCGCTTACGTGACATGAAATTATATGAGTCGTAATGGTTGTCGTATTTCTAGCTGTCCTATTTCTTCTTCGATCTTAAGAAAGCTTTGTCAATATTTCTCAACTACGTACGGTGAATGTTAGATGATAGATGGGAGGTGCCAACAAGATAGGGTGTGATGACGACAATGCTTGCAAAATTTCCTCGACGAGGGGAAGAATGAATAAAAAAATAACAAATGAGTTGTCAACTCACATCGCCCAACTACAAAATAATAATGATAATAATAAAAGAATCTAATTACGCAATTGCTATGCTATTCTTCGACCATCAATTATCAACTAACATAGTCTATTGGTTAGTGTTTTATGCATTTTTCTCACAAAATATGGAAAACCCGTGGTCAAGACTCTCCGATCTTTAGGTAGTTCGTGTTTTATGCATTTTTCTCACAAAAATATGGAAAACCTGTGGTCATACTCTCCGATCTTTGGGTAGTTCGCGTTTTATGCATTTTTCTCACAAAAATATGGAAAACCTGTGGTCAAGACTCTATGATCTTTGGGTAGTTTGCCTTTTATGCATTTTTCTCACAAAAATATAGACACAAAAATATAGAAAACCTAAGGTCAAGACTCTCTAATCTTTGGGTAGTTTGAGTTTTATGCATTTTTCTCACAAAAATATGGAAAACCTGTGGTCAAGACTCTCCTATCTTTGGGTTACTTGTGGTCAAGACTCTCCAATCTTTGGATAGTTCGTGTTTTATGCATTTTTCTCACAAAAACATGGAAAAACTCCGGTCATATTCTCTGATCTTTGGGTAGTTCGTGTTTTATGCATTTTTCTCACAAAAATATGGAAATTATGTGGTCATACTCTCCGATCTTTGGGTAGTTCGTATTTTATGCATTTTTCTCACAAAAATATGGAAAACCTGTGGGTGTTTAAGACGGAGGGAGGGAGGGATCTTGGTGATGTAGATTGATTGATTCATTAAATAAATGAAATGGAATGATCAAATATAGAAGCTGTTAGCATCAGATAATGTAATAAACAATTATCTACATGTACATCTTAGAACCCTTTCAACACTAATGACTTTGCTTTGAAAAAAATTATAAGAAGCTTAAGAGGAGGAGGAAGAAGAGGCCACAAACAAGACATTACCTTACTTTTTTTCTTTATCATGTTCTTCATGTCAGCCTCATTTTTTTGCCTTTGAAAACCTGAGACATCGGTATTTTTCACCACTTACAGTGATTTCAAGAGCTCCGTCTTGGTTATCTTGATTTGATGCAGTTCCCATTAGCACACTTTTCTCTTTTTCCAGATTCTCCTTCTCCATCTTCAACCTTGCTTCTTGTCGTGCAATCTCTGCCTAAAATCGAAGCGTGATGAGAAGAATAATATGTACCTTAACCGGTTGAGTCATGCTCTGGAAGCATGAATGGGTTAATTGGTTGATGCATGGAAAGGGGATGAAAAGAATTACAGAATATAATAATAAAAGAAAAATTCAAGCTCTTTACGTTGATAGTTCTTCGACTCATTATTATCTTTTTGAGAATTCAACGCCATAAACCTCTGACCTCTTGGTCAATAAGATACACCTTAACCGATTGACTCATATTCTGTTCATCTTTTATTAACTATTTGCTACTCAATACAATCAACGTATCTGCAGAAATTATTGTCTTTTTGAGAACCCAAAACTATGTGGGGTTGGTCAAGATGGGAGATTCAAACCTCTGACCTCTTGGTCAATAAGATATACCTTAACTGATTGAATCATATTCAGTTCATCTTTCATTAACTATTGCTACTCGATACAATCAACATATCTGCAGAATGGGTAACTTCAAGTTCTACACCAAACCTTAGCGCTGAATTTACTATGATGCGCTGCACCATTAAAACTAATATGATAGACCTGATAGACCTCCTATTAAATATGTATACAAGAGGAGGCACGTGAGGAGAGAGAGTGGGGAATCATTTAGGTGATTATTGGAGTGTAACAGCCCAAGCTTACCGCTAGCAGATATTATCCTCTTAGGATTTTACCTTTCGGGCTTCCCCTCAAGGTACGTGTCTGCCAAGGAGAGGCTTCCACACCCCTATAAAAAAATGCTTTGTTCTCCTAATTTGCTTACGGTGGACTTGAGCCGTTACAAATGGTATCAAAGCAAGACACTAGGCGATGTGTTAGCAAGGAGACTGAGCCCCAAAGGGAGTGGACACGAGGCGGTGTACTAGCAAGGACGTTGGGCCCCGAAAGGTAGTGGATTGGGGGTCAATATCAATTAGAGAAGGGAACAAGTGTTAGCGAGGACGCTGGGCCTCGAAGGGGGGTGGATTGTGAGATCCCACGTCGGTTGGGGAGAAGAATGAAGCATTTTTTATGGGGATGCGGAAACCTCTCCCTAGTAGACGCGTTCTAAAAACCTTGAGAGGAAGTCTGAAAGGGAAAGTCCAAAGTGAACAATATCCCCACTCGAGAATGTTTTTGAGATGGGTCTTTATATGGTCTGTTAGCAAGGGTTGGTTGGGCATCTTTTTGGCTTGACAATTGCTGTATTGGGAGAGAAGGGGAAGTTATCTAATACTTCCCTTGGCACTATACCCATTATTGGTAAACAAATTCTAATCTTGCCACCTTTTATACCATATGCTAATGTCTCTCGGTTGTAAATCTACAAAAACCAAACCAGCGAAACTATAGCTTGTTCCTTCACTCAAACTTGGCTCCATGTTCCCAACTCTTTAAAATCATATGCCAAACATCCCATGGAAACTTATCATCCGGAATTCCTGATCTTTAGTGCCAAGATTTGGAGGAAAATATGAAAACAAGCGACAAAAGAAATGGGCATCCTGTAATTCGTGCAGTAATGGCTGGTAAAGTCCAGAAAACAAACATTTGACAATCTAAAAGGTAAGATCCACACAGCAGGGGAAGAATAAAGAAGGTGCAATCTTGAATTTAAAGAGATAGCAGAAAGGCATCCTACTATAAATAAGCTCTCGCCATCTTAATTTCGAACTAAAAATCTACCAAACCTACCACAAAAAGATCAGTTTATAACATAATTGTGAAAGCAGCACCAAGAATTCTGCCCTAATAACTAAGCTGTGATTTGAATGCTTAAAAAATCCAACTATGGAGTGATGAGATTGGGAGCAAAAGTCTTCATTTCAACAACTCGGAATGAAAGAATTCACGTTACATCGAGCATGTATAAGAGAAGTGACAAGGACTGAAAACTCTTCTTGACTAAATTAAGCGTGAGAACATCGGAATATAAAAATGAGCATACATCCATGAAAACTCATCAGAATCATCGATTGGCTATCCTAAACAAACAAACTAATCCAACGAGAAAGAGAGAAAATTCAATCAAGTACCTCGCGACGGGAGAGTTCAGCCTTCCAAGCAGCTTCGCGCTCAGCAACCTCACGTTCGCGCTCTTCAATGTAACTCTGCATCTCTCTCTCCTTCATGATACGATCTTGAATATCCGCATCCAAGGCTTCCTTAAGCTCCTCCATGAATTTATCCACCACCGCCTTTATCCTCAGAGACATCGCCAATTCCGCCCAATTACACCTCGAAACCGTAAAATTCTCCCTCTAACAACAACCTCCAAAGAATCTCAGTCAGCTTCCGCAACAGTCTTCCACGAAGCTTCTGGTTAGGTTTCGACAAGTGAAGAAAGCTATGGCGGAAGATGAAGGAACGGAGTTTCTTTTACAGAGAAGAACGAGAGAAAGGAGAAAGTGTGCGCCCAAAAACCAAAACGAACGAATTTTAGTGGACCTTAGTTTTTATTGGGCCCGGTTTGTTAACGGCCACTCTTTTTTCCTCTAGCCTGGCCCACAAGTAATCGAAACGGTGCGTTTCGACAAGGTAATCTTACCAATAATTATGACTAAGCTTAAACTTTAATTTTAAATTATAGATTTTTTTTTTTTTTTTTTGTAACCTCTCGTGCTCACATAAAATTGCTCTAGCCAAACACTGTAACGGCTCAGATCCACTGCTAGCAGATATTGTCCAGCGTAAGCTCTCAATGCTTTGCTTTGGGCTTCCTCAAAAAACCTCACACCAATGAAGATAGTATTCCCCACTTTATAAACCCATGATCTTCCACTAAATTAAACAAGGTGAGACTCACTCCCAATAATCCTCAACAATCCTCCCTGTTTGATGATAGAAGTCCCACATCGACTAATTTAGGGTGTGATCATGGGTTTATAAGTGAGGAATACTAACTCCATTGGTATGAGGCCTTTTGGGGAAGCCCAAAGCAAAGTCATGAGAGATTATGCTCAAAGTGGACAATACTTTTGACTACACCTTTGAGGCTCACAATACTCTGATACCAGTTGTTAGGATCGCACACACTCGATCTAGATGAACATAAAGAACAAAATAGAAAAAAAATGCGGTACTTTTATTCTCTGTATTTTCTCTTAATGTACATACTTGGAGTCATCAATATAAATCATTTAGCCCGAGTTAACATTAAGTTGGATTGTAAACTCTATTCAGGTTGTTCGGGTCACCAACCCAACCAGCTCGACAATTCATGCTCGTTCAAAAGATTTTTCTAACCCAACCAACCCAACTCAATCCGTGTATAACCCTATTTACTATATACTAAATTGAATTTTGATTAAATTAATAAATAATTAGAGAAAAAATGTAGATATTTTTTAAAATTGAGAAACTATTAGCGGTAAAATTAAATTTAAAAATTTAGAATCGATTTAACCTAAAAGTAAAAATGTTATTACAGTTACAGTCGGTAAATATTTTTCTCGGTGGTAAATCAGTAATTTAATGCAAATGTGGAGGGTTTATTAAAGCAGTCCTCCTTCAAACTTCCACCCTCCAAAAATACTCTCTCAAATCCCTACATTCGAGATCCCTTCCTCCCAAAGAAAACTCAAAAACTCTCCATCACTCCCTCCTCCTTAACCCTTCGATTTTCCGATTAAGCCGCCGTAACTCCGCCGTGTAATGGATGAATACCTCAAGCAATCCAAGCGGAAACTAGTCATGTGGTTCACCAGAACCTTCAAGCCGATCATGACGCACGACGAGCTCGAACCTATTATGGCGACTCTAGGCTTTATCGGCCTCGAACCGGTTATTAACCCCGACGAAATCTCCTGGAAATCATACGTATACTCCGGCGCTCATAGCCTGATCAAGTCAATGTCGACGACGGAGCGTCCGCCGATACCGCGATTGCCGTATCCGAGAGTCGACGGTCTTCACATTTATACGTACAGAGCATTTCTTGACGCAATCAATTTTTACCTCCAGAAATATAACATCTCCGATGTCTTCCATATTAGGTAAGAATGTCAATTCCTTTTGATTTTATGCTTATCTTTAATTGCTCTTGTTTTTATTAATAATTTTTGGTGAATTTCTCTGTGCTTTTTTCGTCTGCGGTTTCGCTTTTCTTTGATTTGAATGATTCTCTGTTCCATCGTCTTTTCATATTTATTTTCAAGTTTTTTTACGAAATTGTTTTCTTCAAAAAATTGAACTCTGATTTTAGGAGATTTTTATTATCAAAATTACGATTGACTGCTGGAATTGTTGAAAATGAACTGTAAAAACAAAATGTTCTGGTTGAGTTCTGGCTTTCAATTTATGAATTTGAAATGTATGGAAATGTTAACTTGATTTGTCTCCGATGAACGAAACCTTATTTCTTTTTCAATATTTGACATTAAGTATAATTTTATTATCTTTAATTCTTGATAATCGATCTTTAATTTCTTTTAGTTATTGTGTTTATTTTAATATGAAAAAATAATTAAAATCATTTATATGCAAAATGATTTTTTTTGTTTTGTTTGATCAAGATTTTTTTTAAAAATTAAAAAAACAAAATTATTTATTTTTAAAATAACTTCAGACCAGTTACGTACTTCAATTTATTCTCTGATTTATTTTTTCTTTCTGAATTTCTACATTTACATTTAAACTGTTTATTTTGTCATTTAACCAATTTCGCTACTGAAAATTAAACAAGATTTGTTAAGAGAAAATCAACTCCTTTTTTGTTCTTTAATTACAAAGGTTAAATTGAACATATATATTTTCCGTATTTATTATTATATTCTCTATCATTAAGAGATATTTTTAAATAATAATGGTAATAATGAACTAGTCTTCTGCTTTGTTTTTGTTTTTATTTTTTCTCTCAAAAAAGTCATAATTAATTAATTCTTTAAATATTATATTTAACTTTTCCCTTTGTTTTGCATTCATCACCCATTAACCATAAAAAATACTAATTTTGGTAATTTAATTTTAAATTTTATAATTTTAGTTCATAACCTTTAATTTTTTTTAATTTGTTATGAACTTATATGCTTCCTGTTTTGATATTTTTATATTTGAATTGTGAATTTTAGTTTTTTTTCTTTCAATTTTCATTAGAATTTATATTGATTATGTATTTGGTGTCTAGATGATAGATGAGATTATGTCATATTTTATTTAAGTTTCATATTTAGAATTTTTAGTCAAATTTAAAACTTTTGTTTTAAAAATCAAATACCTTCTTTTGTTTTGTTTTTTTTTTCTGTTTTATAAATTTTTCTTAGATTTCTAGATTGGTTTTTTTAAAAAGTAAAAAGCAAAACAAAAAAACAAAAAAACTATATTTTTAATTGAAAAAATAAAAAAATAAAAAAATAATCTAATTATTAAAATCAATCTCTCAAATGTTTACATATATATATATACATATATATACATATATATAATGCTAATTTATATTAGTTTCTTTACAATTTTATTTTATTTTTTTTAGTGAACATTAGATAAAAGCCCTATCAATTGCCAGTGGATTATTCTGTTTGTATTTTTTTTTCGTATTCTATGAGTGATTATTGTATTCATTAAATAAAACTCTTTAAATTGATATAGAATCTTGTTTGATATATATATATATACAACTTTTTTTCGAGTGTTATTCTACGAATTATCAACACATTTACTCATAACTTTTAAAAATATATACAATATGATCGAGATGTATGGATATATTTTTAAAACAATTTTATGTTGTTTACTTGTAGAGGATTGCCACTGTCTCAAAACCAAGATCAAAATAGGAATTGGTGTCGTATGTACAATGAAAATATTCATTATGCTTACATAGAAGGGACTTTAGATCGAACAACAATTGATCTATATGAATTTCAAGAGAAAAGTAACGATGATAATAGTGATAACACCAAGGATGAAGAGATTGACCACCATCGAGAGGTGATAAAGAATGATATTTTTGAAGATATCGTCAATGTTGTTGATTTGAAAGATATTATAACGCAATAAGATCATCAATGATTACAATGAATACAATTTTGACGTTTTTTTTGTAGCACATCTTGAAAATGTGTTATTTTTTGTAGACATCGTCAGGATTTTTTTGTAGCACATCTTGAAAATGTGTTATTTTTGTAAACATCGTCAGGATTATTAATTTCAAAGATAGTATAACGCAACAAGATTACCAATGAATACAATTTTGACGGTTTTTTTTTCTTTTCTGTAGCACATCCTGAAGATGTGTATTCTTTAATTGTTTAATGTTTTACGAGGAATAGAGTTTTTAGGTTACCTGCGAACCAAGTTTGAATGAAACTCTTAAACGATTGAAATTGATTATAAATGTAATTTTTTTTATAAAAAAAAATATATTCGCAACTATTTTAGAAAATAATAAAACCGCTTCGTAATAACTCGTATCACTGTCTATTATAGCTCGTTATATATCACCGATAATCTCACAATTTTTAGACGTATCTACTAGAGGAGAGGTTTCATATACTTATAAGTGATTCTCTCCTCCAACTAATGTGGGACCTCACAATCCTCCAACTAATGTGGGACCTCACAATCCACTAAGGAGAGGTTGCATATACTTAGTTGTTCTCCCCTCTAACTAATGTGGGACCTCACAATTCACGCCATGCCGTTGGAGGCCTAACATGGCTCTAATATCATTTATAACAGCTCATGACCACTCATGACCACCACTTGCAGATATTATTCGTTTTGGCCTGCTACGTGTTACCAACGTCCTTATTGACACACTGATTAGTGTCTTGGCTTTGATACCATTTATAATGGTCCAGCACTGTTGGTAGATATTATTCATTTTGTTTGTTATGATAATGATATTATTCATTTTGGTTTGTTAGAAATGAATTATTCTTTAACTTACTCCAACTTAACTAACTTAACAACTTACAAATTTTTTAAAAAAATTATAAAAAAATAAGATCTAAAAGAAAACCTAATTTATTAAATCATGAAAAATAAAAATAAAATAAAATAAAACAAAAGCAGAAAACATAAGATCTAGGAGAAAACCTAATTTATTAAATCATGAAAATTAAAAATAAAATAAAAATCATGAAAATTAAAAATAAAATAAAAGCCTAACAAAACCAAGAAATATCAAAATAAGATTTGAAGAGAAACCTAATTTATTAAATCGATAAAAATTAAAAATAAAATAAAATAAAACAAAATAAAAGTAAAAAATGTCAAAATAAGATCATAAGATCCAGTAGAAAACCTAATTTATTAAATCCATCAGAAAACAAAAAGCCTAAGAAAACCAAAAAATTGTTGATAGAAAACCTAATTTATTAAATCCATAAAAATTAAAAATAAAATAAAATAAAACAAAATAAAAGCCTAAGAAAACCAGCACCGTTTCCCGCCAATCCACCTATTCCAATGACCCACCCACTAGCTTTGTGTTATTAAAAGATGAGCCATGAACACCAAAGCCTTTTTAAAAGGGGTTCGATTCTTCTTTTATTCAAGGGATCTTAAATTATATACTGGAAACACATACCTGTTTCCATGGCTTTCCGCTCTGTATCTGCCGCCATCAACATAAAGCCTCGAACCCTTCGACCTCGATAAGGGCAAAAAAAAAAAAAAAAAAAAAAA